TGAGTGGACGTCGAGCCTCAGAGTCTATTTTTTATTTCCTGCTCAGTCTCTGTCCTGTCCCACTGGCTCCTTTTACCCCTTATGACCCAAATTCCTAAAGACTTCATTTGGATATGAAAGAACAGAAGGGCTCACAAATGAGAGAAAAGGAGGCACTGATCACCTCCACCATCTTTCAGAAAACTGCAGTGACACCCAAATGCAACAAAGCAGTTCTATAATGCAAGACAGATTGGATCGGTCTGTCTTCTCTCCCACCTCACTGACCAATCCCAACCACTACATACCTGCTATCACCATCCCACCTACCTTCCCCAGCCCAACCCCCCCGTCTCTATTTATTTAAGAGCCCCCTTCACCTCCCCCATTTCTGAAGAAGGGTCCCAACCCAAAACGTCAGCTTTCCTGCTTCTCTGATGCTGCCTGGACTGCTCCAGCTCCACGCTCTGAAGGTTCTCTCCATTTAAACATTAAGTTGGTTTTCTATTCTGAGCAAAATGGATAACTTTACATTAGATTCCATTTGAAACATTTTGGCCTATTCAACTAAACTATCTCAACTTATTTGTAAATTTTATTCCATTACTGCAACTTACTTTTGCACTATTTTAGTGTCATCTGCAAATTTGAGTACAGCACCTTCTATCCCTGCATCCAAATCATAAATATTGTGAACAAAGACTATGGGACTGATTTTCTAATTTTCTCTCCATCCGTGTGCATTATCTTTCCCTGTTTATGTCAGTCTTTGTCTGCAAGGGGAGCTGAGAGTTTTAAGTTGCAGTTTGTCACTTAATTTAACTGTTTGTCTGCACCTGGAATCTGGTTACTTGTAACAAATAGGGATTCTTCTTCAGTATAGAAACTTAGTCTATCAACTAGAATACTAGTGGGTTCTGCAAACTTCATGAATAGTGTGGCTGATTTCTGTCAGCGCCATTCAATGTTTCTTTTTAAATTAAAAACAGAAAAGATTGGAGAAATTCAGCAGGTCTTGCAGTAAACACTTGTTGTTGCCTGTCCCAGAGGATATTAATATTTAAGTTAAGGTTGAAATTAAGGATGGAATTAAATTGTTCAAAATAACCCTGAGTCCCTGAATTATAAGAGTGTTTCAGAGATAGTAGGAACTGCAGATGCTGGATTCTCCAGCATCTGCAGTTCCTACTATCTTTGAAACAATTTTAACCCCACTGCGAAGACTCTTCTAAGGATGCCTATCCTGAAGAAGTTACCCTCCTTCCTCCAGAAAAACCTCAGTGGATCTCCCTCCCACTGCAACTCTCTCGTAATCTCTTCGGCCTTGAAACTGCTCGACCACGTCCTGAAGCAAACCAGGTAATAAACCCATTTCTGAAGAAGGGTCTAGGCCCGAAACGTCAGCCTTCCTGCTCCTCTGATGCTGCTTGGCCTGCTGTGTTCATCCAGCTCTACACCTTGTTATCCCTGAATTATAATGCTGACTTCAGTTCATGTTCACATTGTGCTCATCACGCAGTTAAGGGACACTTTCCAATGTCGGTCAGGGTCCTCAGTAGTACATTGTACAACATTTTATGGGGCTCTTGTGGCGCAGTGGCTGTGGAATGGCATCTCTGAACAGGTTCATTAGAAAAATAGATTAAACTGAACAAAATGTTCAGATCGGAAATAAGCAGGAACTGCAGATGCTGGAGTCAGAGTCAACACAGAAGGAACACAGCAGCCAGGCAGCATCAGAGGAACAGAAAAGTTGACGTCGACTTTCCTGTTCTTCTGATGCTGCCTGGCCTGTGTTTACATCTGAGCCTGCTTTTCATAACCGCAAGCAATGTTTGGTAAAAGGACTGCTATTAACAATCGTTCTCGATACTTGTGACAAAATTTTTTGCTCGAGTTGTGTACATTAATTGGAAATAACGTAAATTATCATGATCTGCATCTCAATGATTTCTTAAAATCTCCCAGTGATTTATTAGAAAGGCTTAATGTTCTACTATGTAGTGCGAATGATGGGATCTTGGAAAATTTTTTGCTTCCTTTTCTGACCCATCCTGAAGCGTCCACTCCACGTCAACAAAATGTTGAGCTGCTGGAATACAGCGGGTCAGGCAGCATCAGAGGAGTAGCAAAGTCAACGTTTCGTTCTGAAGAAAGGACCCAACCCGAAACGTCGACTTTCCAACTCCTCTAATGCTGCCGGACCTGCTGTGTTACTGCAGCATCTGCAATTCTAGCTATCTCCACTCCCTGTCAATCCTCCGGCACGCTCCTCCCTCACTTTGATTGGTCGAAGGACCGGCTGCAGCTATGTTCTCCAGTTCCTCCCATTGGCTGAGTTTGGTTCAGGTGCTACTTGGCAACTGTGCACCAGAAACATATTGAGGGGTCACTCTCTTGTGGTGTGGTGATAAGGTCCCTACTTTTGGACCGAGAGGCATGAATGAATTAGGTTAATTAGGAAAACCAAGGGAAATCAAGGACAGAATTTAATAAAGAAAATGCATGCACTATGGTGAAGATCAGTCAGAAGCCAGAGGAGTGGGAGGAGTTTAAACACCAGCAGAGAACAACTAAAAAAGCATAAAGGGGGAAATGAAATATGAGAATAAGCCAGCTACTGACACAACAGAATATTGAAAGGAGATTTTTAGATATAAAGAAAGATAAGGCTAAACATTCAACAGCTCGAAAATGAGGCTGGAGAAGTAGTAATGGGAAACTAAGAAATGCCAGATGAACAAAACGGTGACTTTGCATCAGTCTTCAAGGAGGAAGCATACCAAAAGAAAGGCAGATGAGTTTAGTGACTATCACGAAGGAGAAGATGCTGGGCAATCTGAAAGGTCTGAAGGTGAATAACTTACATGGACTATACCCCAGGATTTGGAAGGAGATAGCTGAGAAGGTCAGAGGGGCATTATTGGTGATCTTTCAGGCATTACTGGAGTGAGGGATGGTTCCAGAAAACTGGAAAATTGCTAATGTAATTCCTCTGTTTAAGAAGGGAGGGAAACAACAGGCTGATTAGCCTGGCCTCAATTGCTGATAAGATTTTAGAGTTCATGATTAAGGATGACATAGTGGAGTATTTGGAAGTGCATGATAAAACAGGGATGAGTTAGCATGGCGCCAGCAAGGGGCGATCACGCCTGACAAATTTACTAGAATTCTTGAGGAATTAACAAGTAAATTAGACAAAGGGTATCTATGTGGATGTCACCTATTTGGATTTCCAGAAGGCCTTTGACAATATGTGACATGGGAAATTGCTGAATAAACCAGGAGTCCATGGTGTCGGGGCAAAATATTGGAATGGATAGAGGATTGGCTGATGGCAGAAGGTAGCAATAGGGGATAAATGGGTCTTTATCCTGTTGACAATGAATGACTAAGAGTGATCCATTGAGGTCACTTCTGGGTCTACAACCATTCATGTTGTACATTAATGATTTGGACGAAGGAATTAGGAGGCATTGGGCAAAGATGTGGCAGATGAAATAAATTGTAAGAAAGTGAGATTTAGCACTTTGGCAGGAAGAATAGAGGCATAGACTATTTTCTAAATGTGGAAAGGCTTTGGAAATCAGAAGAACAAAGCGACTTAGGAGTCCGAGTTCAAGACTCTCTTAAAGTTGATATGTAAGTTGGCAGTTTGGAAGCCAAATGTGATGTTAGCATTCATTTCAGGAAAGCTAGATAGAAGAGCAGAGATATACAGCCTCAGCTGTATAAGACTTTGTTCAGCCTGCATTTGGAATATTGCGAGCAGTTTTGAGCCCAGTATCTAAGGAAGGATGTGTTGGCACTGGAAATTTACAAGCATAACCCCAGTGATGGAGTGCTTGTTGTATGTAGAGCAGTTATAGAGTCAGAGCTGTACAGCATGGAAGCAGCCCCTTTGGTCCAACTCATCCATGCCAATCAGATATCCTAAATTAATCTAGTCCCATTTGCCAGCATTTGGCCCACATTCCCTCTAAACCCTTCCCATCCATATACCCACCCAAATGCCTTTTAATTGTTACAATTATACCAGCCTCCACCACTTCCTATGGCAGCTCATTCCATACACAAATCATCCTCCGTTTGAAAAAGCTGGCTCTTCAGTTCCTTTCATATCTTTCCCCTTTCACATTTAACCTATGCCCTTGACTTTTGGACTCTTCTACCCTGGAAAAAAGACCTTGAATATTCAGCTTTTTTCATGCCCCTCATGCTTATTTAGCACCTCCTGATAGCTCAAACCCTTCAGCCCCAGCAACATCCTTGTAATCTTTTCTGTACCCTTTCAAGTTTAACATCTTTCCTAAAGCAGGAGACCAGAATTGTCCCCCTTCCTGTAACAGTATCTCATCATTTCTCCAACTTTACCTCAGGCCTGTTTGTGGAGATCAGTGACGTTCTGTAAGCCCACGATACAAGATCTGCCACTCTTCAAACAGCAGAAATCTTCTGTTGCGCTGTAGTCATGACTTGTATGGTCACATTGTAGTGCCATACTCTCTATGACTGATAGACTGGAACTCCTCTGTTCTTTAGGCCTTATGCACTCCCTGCGCTCCTGCAATTTCCTTTTCTATATTCCCTTTCCGACTCACCCACCTACATCAGTCCATGATTGGAACTGCCGAGGATACAAGCCCCTGGAATTCCCTCCCTCACCCTCTCTTTAAGATACGTCTTTAAGACGTATCTTAAAATCGATCTCTTTAATCAACGTTTCGATCATCCGTGAAGCACCTTAAGAGATTTGACAATGTGAAAGGTTCTATACAAGTAATTGTTGTTATTGCTGCACATTAGGAGAATCAGGAATTATACATTCTTTCCCATCTCAGAATGAACGCTCACTCCTGGAGCCGATGAACAGCAACAAAATCAGGAAGAATTGCGCATGCTCCAATTCGCCTTGGTGCCCGGATGATTGATGTCAGCGGTGAACCAATAGGAGGACAGGGGGCTGTAGTGGAGGGCCGTGCTGCAGCTCCAACCAATCGGAGGGAATCTCTAATAAGCCACGTGATCGTCCAGCACGCTGTGTGCCGCCGCTGTGGCCGAGGTTTGGGTGTCTGCGGAAGGTGCCGGACACGGTAAAGAAAGAGATAAACAGCAAAAAGTGGGAGGGAAATGCTATTAGTATGAGCTGGGAGGGTTTACAAAAACTTAGTGCACGTGGGAAAACATAAATTTGAAACTCCCAGTCCCGTGTTTACAGCAAACGTGAAAACGCCTTAAATGGCGAAAGGCTCGACTGACCGTCACCATCTTTGTTGGGGGAAATGAGCCACAGGACAGATGTGTGGCCGCCAACTTTGTGGAGGGCAGGTTTCAGCGGGACGCATGCGCACCCTACCCGGCAGAGAGTGTTCGGGGAGGATTTACACAAATCAGATTTAAGCCAAGAGAAATGTTTGTTTCTTCTTTTCCCAGAGTGTAGGATCGTGACAGCTAACACTGCTCTGATTCACCTCTGTGCTCCGCGATCACCTTTTTGTCAATATACCTAACTTCCTCTGTCTCTTATCAAGGGCATATTTAGCTCTGTTTACTATTTTACTGTTACTTTCACAGACATTTTTTCTGTGAATTTTCCACTGTTGCCCATCCCCGACCATGTACTACTCTCTTACCAGATTCATGTTTCCACAATATCGTTCACAGTCAGGTATTCTTTTTCCAGCAAGACCTTCAAATTCTGCACCATTTTCATTCCCTGTAATTCGTTTTGCACTCCCCGAAACATCAACTCTGTTTCTTCTTCCACAGGTACCAGCGATCATTGCGAAAACTCCTGATGCCTGTGGAGACGGTGATGTTTGGTGATGGTGCTTCCACAATGCAGTTAGGTATGAAGTTATAGATCATTCACGCAGCGATAGTGAAAAGTTGATGATATATGTCAAAATCAACAATAGTTTTTTTTTAATCATGTCTATAATTTCACAAAAATATTATTGAGGAACGTTTGACGTGAGGCCACAGATGGAGTTATTGGGTCAGGTGACCAAAATCATTTCAAATGAACAGGTTTTCGGGAACGTCTTAAAGGAGAAAAGCACACTTGGAAAGTTTAGAGTGGGAATTGCAGACTATGTTGCCTTGGCAACTGTAGAAAGAGCTACTAACGGTGAAGCAATGAATAAATATATTGTTGGTGTCTGAAACAAAATCAGTTGTCAAAGTCTCAAACGTTGTGTGGCGCAGCAGGCTAGGGATGATCACACCCAGGAATTAAATCAAGTGTGCAAATTTTAAAATGTTGTTTATAAATAGGAACCTTTTGATGGATGAATACGTTTTTGTAGAAGTGAGCATTTGGGGAGTGGAGATTTAGATATTTTTGAGATTACAGGGAGGTTGAACATGGGAGGCTGACTCGGAGTGTGTTTGGATAGTTAAATCTGGAGGTAAAACAGAAATGGATGAGAGTTTCCGCAAAAGAACTGAGACTAGGGTGGAGTCAGGTGATGTCGTTGAACTAGACTTATGTGGTCTAGGTGCAGGACTGGATGGTCACTCTCACTTCACCTCACCTCTGGAATTCAGCTGTTTGTCAATTTGTGGATCAAGTCTATAATAAGGTCTGGACCTGAGTGGTCCTTGCAGAATCCAAATTGGTTGTCTCTGAGCATGTTATTGCTGAGCATCTGGTGTTGGATAACACTGATGCCACTTTTCATCACTTTCATGATCAAGAGTAGACTGATGGAGGGGAAATTGGCCAGGTTGTACTTGCTCTGTGTTGTTGTGCTGAACATACCTGGGCAATGTTCTATATTGTTTGTAAATGCCAGTGCTATAGCAGTACTGGAACAGCTTGGCTTGGCGGGTGGCAAGTTCTGGAGCACTAGTCATCAGTACTATCTCCAGAATGTTGGCAGGACCCATAGCCTTTGTACTGTTCATCCATTTCTTGATATTATGTGAAATGATTTGAATTGGCTGAAGACTGGCATCTATAATGTTGGAGACCACTGGAGAAGGCTAGGATGGATCATTCATTAGGCTCTTCTGGCTGAAGATTGATGCACGTGCTGTAGTCTTATCTTTTGCATGGATGAGTTAGGCTCCCCCATCAGTAAGGGCGGATTTTTGTGATGGCTCCTCCAGTGATTTATTTAATTGTCCATCACCATTCACCTCTGGTTGTGGCAGAATTCCAGAGCTTAGCTCTGATCCATTGGTTGCAGGATTGTTTAGCTCTATCTCATGCTGCTTATGCTGTTTGGCATGCAGTCCTGTCTGGTAGCTTTAACAGGTTGGCAGCTCATTTTCAGGCATGCTTGATGCTGGTCCTGGCATGCCCCCTTGTACTATCAATTGAACCAGGGTTGATCCCCTGGATTGATGGCAATGATTGAAATGGGGGATTATGCTGGGCCATGAGGTTACAGATTGTGCTAGAGTACAATTATGATGCTGTTGATGGCCCACAAAGCCTCCTAGATGTCCTGCTTTGAGTTCCTACATCTGTTCCAATTCTGTCCCATTTAGCACGGTGATAGTGCCACTCCATACAATGAAGGATATTCTCAATGTGAAGATGAGGCTTTGTCTCCAAAAAGACGGTGCAGTGGTCGGACTTACCGATAGTGTCATGGACAGATGCATCTGCAGCTGGAAAATTTGTGATCATGCGACCAACTATGCTTTTCCCTCTTCTTGGTTCCTCACCACTTGCTGCAGACACAGTCGAGCAGCTTTGTCCATTAGGACTCAACAAGCTTGATCAATAATCTTGCTGCCAAGCTACTCGTTTAGAGGATATTGAAATCCTGTACCCAGAGGACGTTGGGTGCCATTTACACCCTCAGTGCTTCTTCCAAGTAATGTTTAACGTGGAAGAATACTGATTCATCAGCTAAGGAAGAATGGGATGTAGTAATCGGCAGTGGCCATGAAACTTCTAGGTGTCTGGAGTCAATGTTGAATACTCCCAGGGCAAATTATTCTTGTCAGTACACCACTGTGCCGCCACCTCTGCTCTGCCTGGCAGGACAGAACATATGTAGGGATGGTGGTGGTGTCTGTAAGCTTTGATTCCATGCGTATCCCTATATCAGGCTGTTTACTGACTAACTTGTGAGACAGTTCTCCAAATTTTGGTACTATCTTCCAGATGTTAGTAAAGAAGACTTTGCTGGGTTGAGGGGGCTGTTTCTGTGGTTGTATATTCTGGTACCTTGTTAGATGCCAAGTTGTCCATCCAGTTTCATTCCTTTGTTGTGGCTTTGCAGTGATTGATACAGTGAGTGGCTTGCTGGGCCAGTGTGAGGTTAGCAGGGTTCTTTCCCTGAAGGACATTGGATATTTTGTTTCTGCCATTGGCAATGGTTCCATGGCAATCACTAGATTCTTAATTCCAATCTTTTTTTTTTTCTTGATTTCCAATTCCACCATCTGCTGAGGTGGGATTCAAACCCGTACTTCAGTTGTACTAATATTCTGGGTAAAAGTTAAATATATCAGGTTTGTTCACTCATTTTTAAATACCTCTAACACAAGTTTTATTTCTTTGCAAAACATTGTCCATCATCCTGTCTCCTCCATCCTCCCCTCCAATAACAAGAGTGAGGAGCACATAGAGTTTCTGTCTCACTTTTCTCGTTATGTCCTTCTCACCCGTTCTGTTAAAACAATATTTGACCTCACCGTTGTTGGAAAACCTGCTCTATCTCCACTCTCCCTTTCTTCTCTGATGTCCATGTATTTGGCGTCCATCAAAGATCTATCCTTGGCCACTTCTGTTACCCACAAAGATACTGCCGGTGCGTAATATTGTCTGAAAGAACTATGTTTACTTTCACATGTACACTGACAATGTCCAGCTTTATCTCACCATCCCCCCTCTCCATTGCTCCACTGTTACTCATTATCAAACTGCTTAGCATGTTTCCACTAATCGATTAGCTGAAATTTCCTCCGGTAAAACTTTATGATGGTTAAACCCATTGCCTTCAGTTGTTATTACAAATTACTTTCCCACACTGCTGACTCCCTCCCTTTCACTGGGAAGTGCCTGAGGCTGAACTACCCTCTTCACAATCCGCAGGTCTGGCAGCATCTGTGAAGGTAAAATCAGAGTTAACGTTTCAGATCCGAGGACCCTTCCTCAGACCAGTTCTGGGGAAGGGTCACCAGATCTGAAATGTTAACTCTGAATTTTTTTTTTTTTTTTCTTCACAGATGCTGCCAGACCTCCTGAGTCTTTCCAGCAACTTCTGTTTTTGTTCCTGATTTTTACAGCATCTGCAATTCTTTCCGTTTTTGCACCCTTCACAATATTGCTCTCCTACCTAACACCAAGATGGCATCTGACCTCACATCTACTCAATCACAAACACCAGAAATTTCAATCTCTAAAATGTTCATTCTTTCCACCTCCCCTCAGTTCATTTGCTCCTGAACCCCTTACCCGTGTCTATGTTGCCTTAAGCTTGACGGTTCCGACACTTAACCCTTGATTCCCCGACTAATCACGAATCTGGTCCTACACTTAACCCTTGATTCCCCGACTAATCACGAATCTGGTCCTACACTCTCTCTCATGATGGGAAACATCCTCTCAGCATTTAGCCTGTCAAACCCCTGGTGAATCCTTTATATTTTAATGAGATCACCTCTCAATCTTCCAAAATCCTGTTAGTAGATTCTCAATGTGTTTAGCCTTTGCTTAAAAGATAATCCTTCCAAACCAGGGATCCTCCTAGTTAACCTTCTCTGAAATGCCTCCAATATTTCCTTAAATAAGTGGACCAAAGCTCCCCACATTACTCCAGATGTGGTCTCACCAGTTCTTTGTACAGTTGCTTATACTGCAAGCACCTTGAAATAAAGGACAACATTCTGTTACCCTTCTTGATTACCTGTTGCAGCTGTGTGCTAGCTTCTTGTGTTTCCTGCACAATTACCCACAAGTCTCTTTGTGTTGCAGCTTTCTATAGTTTTCACCATTTAAATAGTGCCCTGATCTATTGTTGTCTCTTCCAAAATGAACAACTTCACATTTTCCCAAATTATACTCCATCTGCCAACTTGTTGCCCACTTATCCTATTAATATCTGTCTGTAAATTGTTTGTAACCATCTCAGAACTTGGCTGTTATGCCTTTTCTATGAGATCCTCACTCATTCTTCTATTGGGAGTCCTGGGCAGCAGGACGCATATGTAATGTCTATGTTTTTAGCAGACATTGTTTAGAATGATTGGGAGGAACTTGCTACCCATTACGAATAGAGACAACTTGTCCTTTTGAGCTGCATTAGCCTTTAACACACAATGTCTTATTGATGAGATAGAGTGGCCGCACAGAAGGAAAGAAACAGGAGCAAATCTTGCTCTCCGCATCTCACTAACTCTTGGAACATTCTGTCCCATGTGTCAAAGATCTGCTGCTCTGTTCAGACCCATGAAGACCCAAGGCAGAAACTCATAGAAACCCACATAATATTCCCCTGAATTGACTGCTGACCTCCACAAAGGGTAATATGCAGCAGGGAGAATGCACAGCCATCCTGTTGCCAGAGGACAGGGCTGTTGTGAATTTCTACCCTAGGCTGACAGTGATGGATTTTCTGAATTTGTATTACAGGTGATTACAAGTGGACTTGCAGGTGGGAATCTCAAAATAATTGTAATGCCAAACTCTGAAGAATTGCTGAATTCATCAGGACCTGGATATTTGCATTGTATGTGAGTATTAAATTCCAACACACTTGCTGCATAAAAATTCTCCCTGAAGTCACCTAATTCTCTCAATAGATCTTCCCCAAAATCATTAATATGTGTCCTGTAATCCTTTTATGATCAACTGATGAGTGTAAGTTTTATCATCCTAAAGTATACCTTATGTCAGCATCTCTATCAAATCTCCCCTCAATTTCCCTTGCTGCAAGGAGAAGGATCTCAGTTTCTCCAAAAGCCTGATTCCCAATGTATGTTTGCTATCTATGAGACACTCATCAAGATTACATTGGAACATTCTCCACTTGCCTGCATCAGTGCAGCCCCCAACGATATTAATGAAAGTGAACATCCTCCAGGACAAAGCGCTGTGCCTGACTGGTGTCACATCCACCACCTTCAATGTTCCTTCTCTCCACCACCGAGGCACAGTGGTATCACTGTGTAAAAGTTAAAGTCACCATTGTCTTCCATGACCATAGGGCTGCTCTCTCATTAGACAGCGATAACCGGTAGTGGTTTAACCTGAAGATTACCACGTCCCAGGCAAGGGGAGAAGTTGAGAAGGAGAGTCCACCTGTTCTCATGTGTACCAGCAACACCCATGTCACATGAATAAATGTTAAGAAAAACCCTAAGCATGTAAGTAAAATCCCTCCTTCCTTAAACCACCTGAGTAAATTTCCTCTACGTCCCCTGAGCAACCCTGCCATCCTTCCCAAAGTGTGGGTGATCTCTGGTTTTCACAGACCCAGATGCTCTGTGTTCCTGTGTGTGATGTCATCATGCAGTGACGATTACGCTGAACCTCACTGTCTGTAAGGGTGGTAGACACAGAAATCCTGATAACATTTAAGATGTATCTAGACATACACTTACGATGCCAAGGCAGTGAAGTCTGTGGGCTATGTGCTGGAAAATGGGATGAGAATTGTTAGGTGGTAGTTTTCTCTACTGGCACAGCCCCGGTGACTACAAAGCCTTCTTCTGTACTATAGACCTCTGAGACACTTAATATAGAAATATGACAAGCCACATTTGAAATCACATCAGAGAAGGTAATATTAGAATACATGACACATAATTGGTGAATGCTTTTGGGAGGTAAGTGAGGTAGAGAGGTGGAACAGTTTAGGAGGAAATTCTGGAGCTTGGGGCGCAGGAATCTGAAAGTGCCACCATCAAGTGAAGAAATAGTAAAGGGGTATCTGTCCTCATAAAGCTGGAATTAGAGACAAGCACATATCTCCGATTTGTGAGGCTACAGGAGATTACAGGTAAGGAGGGTTCTGAGGCTAGAGGAGATGAAAGATAGGGAGGGTTGTGAGATTGGGGGATGTTACAGAGATAGAGATGTTTGTGAAACCAGAGATAGTGAGGGTTTTGATGCTGGAGGAGATGACGTAGTGATGGAGGTTTGTGAGGCTGCAGGGGAATTATAGGGATAGGAGAGTTGTGAGGCTGGATGAGATGACAGCGACAGGGAGGGTTGTAGTAACTGAAGGAACTTTGAGAGATAGTGAGAGTTAGAGTCATAGAGTTATGCAGCTAAGAAGCAGACTGTTTGGTCCAACCAGACCATGCCAACCATAATCCCAAACTAAACTAGCCCCACCTGCCTGTGCTTTGCCCGTATCCCTCCAAACATTTCTTACTCATGTACTTATCCAAATATCTTTTAAACATTGTAACTGTATCCATACCCACCACTTCCTCTGGTTGTCCATTCTGCACATGAACCACTCTCTAAATTTTAAAAAAAAAAATCCCCTAATGTCTCTTTTAAAATCTTTCTCCTCTCATCTTAAAAAAAAACGGTTACTCTCACTCTGAATACCACCCCCACACTAGGAGAAGGACACCTGCCATTCTCCTTATCTATACCCTTCATGATTTTATGAACCTCTCATTAGGTCACACCTCAACCTCCTAAACTCCTGTGAAAACAGCCCCAGCTTATCCAGCCTCTCCTTACTAGTCAAACCCTCCATTCCCAGCAACATCCTGGTAAATCTCTTCTGAACCCTCTCCAGCTTGATAATATCCTTCCTATAACAGGGTGACTAGAACTGGACACAGTGCTGCAGAAGAGGCTTCACCAACATCCTGTACAACCTCAACATAATGTCCCAGCTTCTATACTCCAAGGTCTGAACAATGAAGGCATGCATTGTAAACATCTTCTTACCTACCCTATCTTCTGTGACGCAAGCTTTAAAGATCTGAACCCCGAGGTGTCTCTGTTCTATAACATTACCCAAGGCCCTACTTTTAATTGTTTAAGTCCTGCCCTTGTTTGTTTTACCAAAATGTAATATCTTGCATTTATCCAAATTAAACCCCATCTGCCGCACTTCAGCCAATTGACCCAGTTGATCAAGATCTCTTTGTAATCTTAGATAAATTGTCACTGTCCATGATACGACCAATTTTGGTATCACCCACAACTTACTAACCGTGCCTTACTGCCTCAAAAACTCAATCAAGTTTGTTAACACCCTCTCACAAAGCCACACTGACTATTTCTAATCATTCCATGCCTCTCCAAATGCATATAAATCCTATCTTTCAGAATCACCTCCAATAACATACCCACCATCAAAGTCAGACTCGCAGATCTACAGTTCTCAGACTTCTCCTTGCCCCCCATTATTAAACAAAGGCGTAACATTAGTCACTCCGCAGTCATCAGGCACCTCACCGTAGTTGTAGATCATGCAAATATTTCCGCAAGTGGCCCCACAATTTCCTCCCCCACTTCTGACATTGTCCTGGGATACACTAGATCAGGTCATGAAGGTTTGCCCACCTTTGTTTCCTAAGACATGAAGTACGTCCTCTTCTGTATGTGTGAACTGTTTTCAAAACATCGGTATTTATTTCCCCGAGTTCTTCAGCCTCCATTTCTTTCTCCACAGAAAAACTATGCAAAACATTTATTTAATATCTCTTCCCATCTCCTGAGGTTCAACACAAAGATGACCGCTTTGATTTTCAAGGACTCCTACTCTGTCTTGTTGCTCTCTTGCTCTTAATGTACTTGTAGAATCTGTTTGGATTATCCTTAGCCTTATTTGCCAAGGCTATTGCATATTCTGTCTTTGCCTTCCTGATTTCCCTCTTAAGGATGCCCTCCATTCTTTACACTATTCAAGAGATTTATTTGAACCCAGTTATTTATATCTAATATATGATTCTTTTTTTATTCTTGTCGAAAGCCTCAATATCTTTATTCATCCATTATTTTCTAGTCTTACCAGCCTTACATTTCTCTCTAACACAAACATAGTGCCTCTAAACACTCGTTATCACACTTTTGAAAGCCTCCCACTTATCAGATTTCCCTTTACCTACAAACAATCTACTCCAAACAAACTACTCCCTAATTGTCCAGAGGGCAGGTGAGAGCCAACCACATTGCTGTGCGTTTGGAGTCACATGTAGACCAGACCACATAAGTGTTGCAGTCTCCTTCCCTAAAGGACATCAGTGAACCAGATGGGCTTTTCACAGTCATCATTAGAACATAGAACATAGAACAGTGTAGCACAGTACAGGCCCTTCGGCCCACGATGTTGTGCCGAATTTTTACCCTAAACCTAAGGTCTATCTAATCTCCACCCCTACCTTATACTACTATCCATATGCCTATCTAATAGCCGCTTAAATGCCCCTAATAAGGCCAATTCCACTACCCTCTCCGGCAATGCATTCCACGTCCCTACCACTCTCTGAGTAAAGAACCTATCTCTGACGTCTCCCCTATATCTACCTCCACTCACTTTAAAACAATGCCCTCTCGTAATAGCTACTTCCACCCTAGGAAAAAGTCTCTGGCTGTCCACTCTATATATACCTCTGATCATTTTGTACAACTTGATAAAGTCACCTCATATCCTTCGTCGTTCTAAAGAGAAAAGCCCTAGCTCTCTCAACCTTTCCTCATATGACCTTCCAGGCAACATCCTGGTAAATCTCCTCTGCACCTTTTCCAACGCTTCCGCATCTTTCCTGTAATGAGGCGACCAGTACTGGACACGATACTCCAGATGTGGCCTAACCAGGCTTTTGCATAGCTGGAGCATAACTTCATGGCTCTTGAACTCAATCCCTCTATTAATGAAAGCTAACACACTATACGCCTTCTTAACAACTCTATCCACCTGGGTGGCAACTTTCAGGGAACTGTGGACATGAACCCCAAGATCCCTCTGCTCCTCCACACTGTCAAGAATCTTTCTGTTAACCCTGTATTCTGCTTTCAAATTTGACCTTTCAAAATGAATCACCTCACACTTTTCCGGGTTAAATTCCATCTGCCACTTCTCAGCCCAGCTCTGCATCCTATCAATGTCCCTTTGTAACCTAGAACAGCCCTTTGCACTATCCACTACTCGACTCACCTTCGTATCGTCCGTGAACTTACTAATCCACCCTTCCACTCCTACATCCAAGTCATTTACATAAATCACAAATAGAAGAGGACCCAGAACAGATCCTTGTGGTACACCACTCATAACTGAGCACCATGTTGAATATTTTCCATCCACTCCCACCCTTTATCTTCAAAGGATCAGCCAATTCTGAATCCAATCTGCCATATTTCCCCTATCCCATGCCTCCTTACTTTCTGCATGAGCCTACCATGGGGAACCTTATCAAACGCCTCACTTAAATCCATGTATACCACATCCACTGCTCTACCTTCATCCATGTGTTTGGTCACCTCTTCAAAGAATTCAATAAGGTTTGTGAGGCATGATCTATCCCTCACAAATCCATGCTGTTTGTGTCAATCAGATAATTCCTAGCTTTTATTGACGAAATATTAATGGGAAAGTGGGACAGTACTGTGATGTCCCTCACTTTATTGTCAGGAAAGAGGTGAATGTGTTTAATAAGCTCATGATATTTTTACGATGAACAAACTTCCACTCATACAACAGATCCATGTAATCCCCTGATGTTCATCTGTGAAATGGATTGATGTTGATTCTCAGAAACTAATT